TTTCTTCATTCCATCCTTAATTTTTTCTATAACCCAGTAGTTTTTGAGCAAGGTGTTTGTCTTAGTCATCTAGTGCTGCTACAACAGAAATACCACAAGTGGATGGCTTCAACAAAGAGAAATTTATTTCTTCACAGTAAAGTAGGCTAAAAGTCCAAATTCAGGGCATGAGCTCCAGGGTAACGCTTTCTCTCTCTGTCGGCCTTCTCATCAAAGTTCCTCCAGACTGGGAGCTTCTCCGCGCGGGGACCCCAGTTCCGAAGGACAAGCTCTGCTCCTGGAACTACTTTCTTGGTGGTATGAAGTCCCCCTGGCTCTCTGCTCATTTGTCTCTTTTATATCTCAAGAGATTGCCTCAACACACAACCCAATCTTGTAGATTGAGTCCTGCCTTACTAACACAACTGCCACCCATCCTCCCTCATTAACATCACAGAGGCAGGATTTACAATATATAGCAAAATCACAGGATACCAGGAATCATGGCCCAGCCAAATTGATACACACATTTTTGGGGGGACATAATTCAGTCCATGACAGTGTTGTTCAGTTTCCATGTGTTTGATTTTTTTTTCCTTGCTTTTTCTGTCGATTTCTACCTTGATGGCTTTATGGCCAGAAAAGATGCTTTGTAATATTTTGATGCTTTGGATTCGGTTAAGGCTTGCTTTATGGCCCATTATGTGGTCTATTCTGGAGAATGTTCCATGTGCGTTGAAAAAGAAAGTATACTTGGCTGCTGTTGGGTGGAGTGTTCGGTATGTCTATTAGATCAAGTTGGTTGTAGCATTTAGCTCTTCTGCGTCTTTGTTGAGCTTCTTTCTGGATGTTCTGTCCTTCACCTAAAGTGGTGTGTTGAAGTCTCCTACTAATATTGTAGAGCTGTCTAGCTCTCTTTTCAGTGCTGTTAGAGTTTATGTATTTTGAAGCCCTGTCGTTGGGTGCGTAAATATTTATTATAGTTATGTCCTCCTAGCGCATTGACCATTTAATCATTATATAGTGTCCTTCCTTATTCTTTGTGGTGGATTTTACTTTAAAGTCTATTTTGTCAGAGATTAATATTGCCACTCCTGCTCCTTATTGAGTGTTGTTTGCTTAATATATTTTTTTCCATCCTTGAGTTTTAGTTTTTTGTGTCTTTAAGTCTAAGGTGTATCTCTTCCAGGCAGCATGTAGACGGATCG